ACTATATCGGATTCGCTCATCACGACATCTTCATTTGCTTGAAAGGGTTTACTGTTCGGTGTAAAAGCTTTTTAAGCTGATAGATTTAGTCTATTTGATTGTGTTTCTGACGTTGAACAATTTTACTGCCTTTTAATAAAAAGAATATTCAATCTGAATCTGCTACGTTAGAAATCCGGTATAGTGTAAACGGGGCCTAAGTCTATAGTTGATATCGAAAATTAAAGTGTCAGTGTGATGACATACCGCACGCAAAGTTAGAAATACAGATACTGAGATATAAGTACAATCAAGCCAAGACAGTGACTGGCAAAGATAGCAAGAAATATTTGTTCATTCTTTTTAACACCAAGAGAGTGCAAAGTATGACAGCTTTACGTGAATACAAATGTGTGTAAACAAAACTGTTGCTTTTGGAAATCTGATGACCTTCCTCCAGGGAATAATCGAACAATGTGGCTGGCCCACGACAGCTGGTGCCCACAATAGCATTAACAAAATTTCTTTTGTATTTGAACACCAACATGGCGGCCATGACGTAACTTGAAACACACTTATATTCCCCACGGAGGCGTTGAAGCAATGTTAATGAATGTCATGCTTGAAATTTGAAATGTACAGTAGCCGTAAATAGTAAATATTATTGTTTCAACGGTTTGAACCCAGGAGTAACGTTACATGTATGTAAATGTGTCGTCCGGATTAGTAAAGTCCTGAGAAGGACTGTTGAAGTTGATGTTTACTGACGATTCGACAGCTTAAACGGTAGTCATCTTTACAGTCACGGTGTTAGAAGGCATTAGCCTTGACAATCCATATCTACAAATACATTATAATTATTATTTCATTTGCATAAAGGCCTCCTGGTGGATCAGTTATTGCTGAATCATGCAAATTTCAAATATCGGCTTATTTCAAACAGGTTTATTTAGGTTCCCGTTTTCATATTTAATAAAAACAGGCAACAATGTACCTCGCGTTATTGGCAAAATTGAAATGATATTAGCTTTGTTTGTCACTTGTCGCTCAACAATAAGACAACTACAATAATAAATAACCTAAGGTGTGTGGTCACCATTGAGTTCTATAATAACTTGAGTGGCTAAGCGGACTGGGACCTGACCCAAAAAAAATGGCGGCTAATGGACCTTTTTCCTCTGAAATAATCGCTTTGCAGAAAAATTATATTCTCGACCTCCCCCTGATATCTATAGCCAATTATACAGCATTTTTCAAAAACAAACACGATATCTTTCTTTGGCATTTCTTTTAAAATGCAAACGCTTCAATCATTCAATTGTTGAATATCGTAATGTCCACAAAAAGAAAAAATTCGCTCTCATAGGTGAGATGTTTGTTTTCTTTGTTCATCAAAAATTGAAAAGCAATTGAACTTGAAGCCTGAGTGATAAAATCCGACTGATGTTTTCCTTTTTTTTTGCTTTTAAATATCAACATACTTTTTCACTTATTTTTTAATGTGTGAAACGGTAAATCTGTTTGCAAAATAGTTTCCCTAACGCGAAAAAGATTCTGCTCTTTACTCAGTGGGCGGATACTATGAAGAAACGATCATCCCAAAGAGCACCCATAATGTAGAGCAGGGTGTATTCTGATCAATTTGCTGAAAACATGAAGAGGTGATCGGATAGCAAAATGTTTCTGGAATATGCTGCAGTAGCAGTACCAACACTATTTTATAGATCACTATCTGAAGACAATTGATCACTATCTGAAGATGCTATTGACCAGACAGTGTCTAACTGCAAACATCCAACCGGCACATCTTCATTCATATGTGGCCAACAAATACCTCCGTTCGTTAAAAAAGGCATTCGTCGTAGAAGCCGACAACTGGCAGTCACAGTAGACTCGCTTTTACGAAATTTATGTGTTTACAGTGATTTTCATCGTAAAATTGCTTGCCAAATATGCGAAAAACACATATACTTTTTCCTCACTCTTTCTCAAGGGGGGAGAGAGAAATTGTGAGATTTTCGGAAAAGCAGTCAATTTCGTTAAATCTCAGCAGTAATGGAACAAATCCTCTATTTTCTTGGCGTCAGCCGCTTCAGTTGTTATAGAACTCAATGGCGTTTACTTTACATACTTACGACAAACATATTTCTCATGAGGGGCGGATCTAAAGTAAGTCAAAATAATTTACGGCAGTACCTTAATACCTATAAGTACCTTAATAGAGGCATATTAATTGGTGAAATTATATTGTTTAGAAATTCAAAAACAAAAGTGCTTTTCCGAAAGAAAAGCGAGCAGCTATATAATATATTTTGGAGAGATAGGCTTCTGCATCTTACATTCATAACTTTTGAGAGAAGACAATGTTCTTATTTGTAGTTTCAAATGAACGACTGAAAATTTTTTTGAAAGCAAACCTGTTTTAGGGATACTTTATGCCACCTTCAAGAGTTGTCCCACAATCTAAGCGTTCTATTGTGAGGGATGCTGTATCGAGATTCAAGATACTATGGGACTGCATTTATTTTACTTTGGAAGCATTTTGGCAATAACATGATAATTACAATGTCGTGGCTTTGATCTTCCGACTTAAATATTTTCTGTTCACCTCATAGATACTGAACTCTGCGTAAACTGCCACAATGGTCACCGTGTAAATGCAAACAAATACCAACGATTGTGTTTCAAATGCGTCTATTAAGATTAGTCGTTTCAATGTGCATTGAAACACCATTTGCAGCCTTTATTTATATACTATACATGCTGCAAGGTAAAATTACAAAGTTTCCTTTTTCCACGATTAGAAAGGTTTCTTTGAATGTATAATTTATATATAGATGCATTCTTGTATTTGTTTTGTATGCAATCACTAATAAAGACAAAACTATCAATATTGTTTTTAGGTCTTTGTGTTTTCAGTTGGCTTTTGTTACAACTTAAAGGCATTTTATGGATTTGACGTTAAAACTTACATTTGTTTGCACTATTTTCTAAGCTATAGTATATTTAATACAATACATCTACGAAAGCATCTTTAAATCTTTCAACGAACAACTATCTTAATGTTGCCAAATTCTAGCTACGTAAACAAAAAATTATCATCGAGTCAGGGTTTTTTTTTAACTGTTTAAAGGCATTTGTTAAACGTACAGATAACGTATTTTAGAGTATAATTTGATGGTAATTATTATACATTCATTTGAAGAAAGATGCAGAGGTTATTGCTGCTGCTTTTTCACAACATTCTATGGCTTTACTACAACTTAAAGTTATTTTAATGCTTCATTACAACTAACGTTACAAATACAACTATAGTTTGTGTGATTATTTTCTATGCTTTACAATATCAACTACAAAATCCAGAAAAAAGTTTCTGCAATCGTCAACTATTCATGGAGCAGCTATGTAAGTTTGCAATTTCTGTGTATTTTATAATTTATACTCTCACAAACAACGTGTAAACAGGAGATCTCATCATTTCTTTTGGATGTTAATTCTCTGGTAATTTTTTGATTTATTCGAACTAAGATGCGGCGATTTTTGCCAGTGTTTATTCCAAGCAGTTATGTGTAACAGCTTAGTTGATATGGTAGTTATAGTGGCCGTATTGTAGTAAGCACAAGCAAAAAATATAAATCCTCCTTTGTATCATCGAAGATTTTTTTTCTGTAATTGCATGTGACACAATTTATCAATTTGACATATTCTGAAGTTAGACCAAGGTGATTTCGGCCTTATTACCAGAGCATTTTATAATTCGGCCGCTTAACAAAGTATTTGCATATGCTATAAATTATCAATCTGTTGACAAGATCAGTAGATAAAATTCAATTTAAATTTTCACGATTTTTCACGAATTTTCACGCTTTTTAAGAGAGACGGTTAACGGCAATGAAATGCTTCAACATAACATGTACTGTGTATTTTAATGAAAACAAAGCCCCAAAAGCCAAAGTTATGTTCACTCCCTGATTCAAAAAACGCTAATAGGAATAGCAATTGCTGATTGACAGTTATTGCACCCACACATTTCATTGATGAGATCACTTTAATAACATTTCTAGTCTCCCAGCGGATTAACTTGCTCTGAACATGTCATTTTACTACATCTTCACTAAACCCAAAAGTTTTTTAATGCTCTACGAAATATAATATGATTTAACAATTTTTCAACCTCATTTCTTTGTTCTAGGAATATATTTTATCACAAGCTGATTGCATGAGCAACTCAGAGCGAGATGACTAATCAAGACAAAATTTTGTGCATTATTGGTTTCAACAAAACTTGGACTGCAGAAAAAGAAACAGTGCTAGATTTACATCATAGGCAAACTTGCTTCAGTTTTAATGCAATAATAATCAACAATTTTATTCAAAATTATCATAAATGAACTATTTATTATAAGGCAAGCGTCACTTCCGGCAAAATGGTGCTCTTTGATTGGTGCAGAAACATGTTTTGCCGATCAACTATTTCCCCGTAATGGACCACGGTCCAAAACGCGTAATTTTACAGTCAAATGTAAACAAACTTCGTAAGGCAAACAGCTAAGCCCAAGAAAATGAAACAAAAATGTTTCACGAATGTGAGTCGAAGGATAGACACTTGAAAAACAGTTCAACTATCCAGACTATAGAGTTTGAAACGATTTCTTTTTTTACTGACAAAAACTAGAAGAGTGAAAAACAACCCGTACAGAACAGCAAAGATGAGAAAGAAAGAAAGCTTCGTGTCATGTTAAACAATGCCATATAATAAACCTTTTAATAACCTCGCTATCTCAGTCTTTACTGAGATATATCGGACCGAGGTCTTCTATGATGAACTAAAACGAACTTTAAAATGCAACTGCAGAATGCAGATAAAGTCTAACAAAATATTTCAGTAACAAAGTGTTGCAATTCAGTAGCTCTTATTGCTATATGTATGCAGATAATTGGTGATGTGCCGATTATACTGAAAAGCTGAAGATCAGTGAAATCACTGAGATCAGTGGCATGAAAGATTAAAGATATACACATTTTTTTTTCTGCAAATTTTTATTGAACAATATGCTAAGTAAGTATCTAAACAAATTCTTTCTATAAGCAACTTCGGCTATCGCTTTTTTCCTAAGAGCAAAACTTTCCTTTCGATTAATTGAGGAGATGCTAAAGAGCTTCAAGCTAAAAAAAGAAAGATTGTCAAAATATTTATTTTCATTTAAAAATGATTATAAAAATGAAAGACGCTTTTGTCATTCTTACCAGTCCACATTTCACAGCATTTGAAAACAGCAATGTCGTGAAGCCAACTGCCACGACAATCTCTTTTGAACCCAGTGATGTAGAATTTCTTTCCATTACATGTCACCCAACCTTTCTTGCTTAATTTGTATTTGACATATTGATAATGACAAGAACCATATTTGTTGGGAGGATTCACAGGTTTGCAACATTTTCCTGCCTCGATGTTGCGTAATCGGTTACCACGAGAACGATAGAGACCATTTAGAAAATAGCCTCTTGGGCAAACACTCCATTTGCCTTTTCTAAAATACAATATTTCTAGAAATGAGTGGATAGCCTTGTTTATTGAGCATTGATGGCACACAGAAATTTTGTTGCTATTTTAAATAGCATTAGCAACCCATGACTATAGCTGTATCCTATTTTCTGAGACCATAAGTCTAAAATGTACAAATGTAATATTCTGTGAAAAAGATCCCCCCGAAAATTTGCGCTTATGCATTATGAGTAGAATTATTTGCATTGCTAAGTGCAATTAAATTCATTGCATAAAGAAATGACATATAAAAATGGAAAAGATGACTTTGTCTTAATATTGTCTGACTATGGGAGCTGTGAGTGTGTCTGGCAATATATAAATATCTAAATATTATTCTTCCCTAAAATTTCCCCTTTCTTTTTTTATTAGTTTTTTTCTCTTTGAGAATTCTAGCTTTTTGAAGACGTCGCATTATTTTTAAAAAGCTGTTAGAGTTGCTAATTTTAGTTGAGCGAACAATAATAACGAGGAAACTTCACAAAAACAAAGTCTTACTATCTTACTCCCAATAGCCTACTTATATAGATCAGTGCTCAAAATTGATTAGAAGAACAATATTGCACAAAACGCAATAGATATGACTAATAAAAACCCATGCAACCATTAGGTATACGCACTTATTAGCTAATTGAATCGTTAAAACAATTCACGACTCGGCGATGCACGTAAAATTTCTATTTTTTTGCGATTTGTACTTCTGACAGACATTCAGTTCTTGAGGTGGGAGGTCAGGGCGTAGAATTTGTAAAATATTTCACAAATTACTTCTGGCTGTGCTAACTTTGAGAATTCAATGGCAAACCCCCAAAACTGTAGCTATAAACTATTTTACCCAGCTGTTCTCATGGATTGTTTCTCTAAAAAATAGGATAGATGTTAGCTATAATTTACAACATCCAAAACATAAAATAAAAGTAAAGATTGGAGATGATTAGATTTATGTATGAATTGCATAGCCCGTGGTATTGTTCATTTTCAAACATCATTTTTTCTAAATTTCAGTAGCTACATTCATTTGTTTTCCACAACTCTGTAAATTTCTGCCATATTTTCAAAAAAAAAGACGAGAGATTTCCAGCCCGCCGAGATTTCTATCACTGCTTGGTTCATTTTCACCATAACATCATTAGCATATACGTGCTTCATAATCTAACATATAATAACTAGCTAAATTTTTTTTCTGGGAAAGTTAGCTACTAACCTGTTGAAAGAATTCCACCAGTTACCATTTACGCATATACTTTTTTGTGCAGTATATTTTGGATGAGATGTGCAGCATTTTGCATGCTCTAGACGGGAAATTCTATCAAATCTTCTGGTATATCTGCTGCGATATAAGCCAGTGATAAAATTATTTTTGGTACGACATTTTGACCATCCCTTTTTGTTAAAAGATTTCGTCCAATCTGCATTAGTGCAGACAGGTAAAGCACTGACTGAAATGAAAAAGATAATTTATTTCTCTTAGAAAATCAACAGTCCTAGTATACAGCATTTTTTATTATTATTATTACAGTATTGCAGTACACTTACAACAAGGTGATTTTCAGGCAGGTCTTACGATATGATTATTTAAGTTGAAAATAAACTTCCATTATTAACAGTGAAAGTATGATTACACAGTGAAGTTAAAAAGTTATGTCATATACTATTAAAAATAAGATAAAAATCATTAAAAAAATGGTGAAATATTTCTATATCTCAGCTAGGACAGCAACGTAAAACTTTTAAAAGAAATCAAAGTGTTTGATAGCCTTTGATCAAAATTAACTCCAACTGGGAACAAACATTGCTTTCATTTCAATTCTGTTTCTATTTTTCCTTCCTCATTACATGAAAGACGTAGCAAACAACGTAATCATCTTTAAGAGAGTCAAAATGGGTTTTGGGTTGAGGAAGGCAAATGTAACTATCCCCAAATAGGCTTGAATTCAAAGAGGGGGATTCAAAGTTAATAATCATTTTATGTTTTCATTAATTTATTGCTTAGAATTTTCTCTATATGCAACCTCTAATACTAGTAACGACGAAATAAAAAAAACTGTCGCAGCTACAAACGGTGCGTGCTCTTTGAAAGAAAAATGTTATGCGCTCTGTTTTATTTGACAAAAAGCAGTCGTTCAACGAAAGAGTTTCGCTTATGTTAATGCATTTTGTTATTAAAATTTCAAAATCTAAATTCGTTCCCAGTTAGGAAACATAATAACGGCAAAAAATAAAACAAGGGAAGGTGAGACAGATGGAAAAATTTACAAAACACGCTTACCCTCACAATTCTTTCCAGTAAAATCAGATGTACATTTACATTGATGAGAAGATCCAACATTTGTACAAGTACCACCATTCTTACATGGATTTTTAGTACAAGCATCAATATCTAAATAGAAAAACCGTGTGTATATTAAACCATGTTTAAACAAACTCCATTAACGTCGTGTGATAAAATGTATTGTGCGTGAGCCCATGACTCCGCAGAAATTAATCCGACCTGGTTACAAAAGGAAAAATACAAAGTAAAGGAGATATGAAATTGTACAAATACACTCACATTGGCAAGTCTTTCCTCTGAAACCAAATTTACATTCACATTGATAAGAAGATCCATTCGTTTTACAAACACCGTCATTTTTACATGGTTGTTTTGCACATGGATTCATAACTACGTAAAAAATATTTATACAAAACTTGGCAGCGAAATGCTTTAAAAAACTGTCGTTTTTATCATAACTGTTAGTCGTGTCATGTGATCCTTTTTTAATATCATAATCCGTGTTCAAAATATTTTAATGAAATACTATATGTGCTAATTCCAGTGACTTTAAAACCAAGTTCCATTTTTTATAATTATTATATAATAATAAATAGATCCTCATTTGACTAATTTATACGCAGACAAAGTGTTTTTGAACAAATCACTAAAAAAAAAATTCAAGTTTTAAGCAAACCTTCGCACGTTTTGCCTTCAAAACCATAATCACATTCGCACGAAAATGTACTTCCGTTGTTTGTACAAATACCGTTATTTTTACAAGGACGCGAGTCACACGGTGTTGGTACTGGAACTGCAAAGCAAAATTATTACATTAGGGAAAAAGTATTTTTCTTACATTTAATTAAAACATGCGTAAACTTAGCAATTGTCTGCAATGACGTTTTTAATCGTGAACACAATTTACAAACAGAGTAATCGAAACTGTTTCCATATTAAGCAGCAAAAGACTGCAACCCGAGTTTCTAATTGATCATGCTTACTTAGAGGAAAAACAACTTATTTTGTAATTTGATAATTTTATATTTTTGACTTTGAATAAAGTAAATTCATGAATATTAGTGATGACCAATATTTCATTTTTGAAAGTCATCTTTACAAAGATGACAAACCTTCATGAATAACAAACCTTCACATGTTTTTCCTTTATATTCTTTGGTACAAGTACAAATGAAACTATTCCCATTCTCGCTACAAGCACCGTCATTTTTACAAGGGAAAGACTCACAAGGACCTATAAAGGTATATAAATATTTCATAGCGTTATTTAGAAAGGTTTCGCACAAGCATTTAGTAAGAAAAAGAGATGAGATGTGTTTAACAAACTTTATCCACATGTAAAAGCTAAATAGTCCAACTACAATATCCACATGTAAAAGCTAAATAGTCCAACTACAATATCCACATGTAAAAGCTAAATAGTCCAACAGCTCATTGTTATACTTTGTTATACATTGTTATACTTTGAAAAACATATACAATAACTGAATTATTTACATCAAATTTTACAACAAATGTATACCTTTAGACAATGCATTTTGCGTTGCAATGCTTAAAATTTTAAGTTTTAAAAAGCTAATGTTATTCTTACCATTAGTGGAGCATTTTCGATCTTTGACACAAGCCATAGCTCCCATATTACACGTACTGAAGAAAAAATGAAAATAGGTATAATACAGTGATGTAACATTCTTATCAAAATAAAAAAATATCTACCATGTTTTACATCGTCCAACTTTGACATTTTCGCCAGCTTTATAATACTTTCCTTCAAAGAAACATGGGCATTTCTTCACAGGAACACAATGATTCTTGTCATCCAAGTAAGATCCTTTGGGACAATAACAACCGGGAATGCAGGTTTCACTGCAGTTTAGACCACGTGATATATCACGACATGTTTTTGCACAAGCAGATCCACATTCTGTGAAAATTTCTTCTTTGTTGCTGCATGTTTGTTCTGCATTGAAAAAACAACACATATTTATTTATGATTTATGACTGATCGATTGATTTTTAAAAAGCTAAATTGGTGCTTTGTATCACAATAAGAAAAATAAAGAAGAAAAAAATGTAAGTTTATTGAGTTATCCTTACCACATTCTTTGAGTTTTGGATACAAATAAGTTCCATTGAATCTCCAGTCAAGAACACCACCATATTCAACACAAAGTTTACTGTAAGCAGCAAAAGCGTTACAAACACATTTCATTGGATCGATGCAACGACATGCGTCATATTTGCAATTACTGATCAAAGTTTCCGCGCTACTAAATCGATTACATGCACGGTAGAACGGAGAGCTAATATCGCTCATCAAGTGACATTTATTCATCGCTGCTTTCTTTTTGGAATCAGGAATACACACTGCTGGTGGTGGAGCACATCTTTTACTGTAGTGAATGTCGTCATTTTTATCACCATTGTTGTTGCCACATAGAGATGTGTTGCATAACTTTCCCTTGTATTTACCAGAAACTGTGACCTTTACATTCATCCAAAAGTTCCAACTCACTGATACTCCGATGTGAGTTTTAACAATCAGCGAACTCCTACTGGGATTGGTGATTTCGAATCCTTAAATAAAGACATTAATATTTAAAGCATTAAAAAATAAACCAATGTTTTTTATCCATTCCGTTCTACTCAGAAGCTCCATCATGAGCATTAATTCACTCAGCGTCAAGACGTATGAACAAATACGAATAAAATAACGTTAAAACTCATACCGGGACGGATTATTGGGAACTTTGACAGCCTAACCCTATTTACAACTGCTGTACCACGCTGACGTGTCATCAAAATTGAGTTTCCAGCTATAATGATGCTGACATATTTTGTACAGGTCGCACTCTTTCCACAAATAACGTTTTTAGTACGGACTTCAAAAAGTTTGTCTTTGCTACAGTCTTTTGCAAACACGTATTCACAGTCTCCCATGAAATCGAATCTTTTGCCATCAAATGAGGTGTAATGAGGATCACCAGAAGCATAACATGACGCTAAGTAAAGGGAAAAAGATCATCTGTTTGTTAAAAAAATAAAAACTCTGATCTCTTCTAAAAGTAAAAATAAATTTGTATGATGGAAAAATTGTGGGTGGAATGAGTAGTGTTTTATTCCGATTAAATTTCATTCAAATGACAAAATTCGCATGTTTCCACATATTGGAGCCTGGCTTTAATTTGTCAAAACTACCCTGTGTATCTATAGTTGTTTCATCGTGCTTAATTATATCTAACTCCGTAAAATTTTTAAATTCGTATTGATTGATTGATTGAGTTGATTAGTTCAGCTAAGATCCGTTTGCACAGTCTAATGCAAAGACGACCAACGACTTATCTTCGCACACATATTAATGTGTTTATTTTATAAATTTCAGCAGCATCAACAAATAACAAAAATAGACAATAGAGCAAAACAAAATTGACTTATTACATCAATGGAACGATCCAAATGATAACTTTAGATCCAATGAAATGAGTGCTGCTTAGATCTGATTCATGGAAACCAATGTTAAGAAAATAATTTGAACTAACAGATTCATTTGAAGCTATTAAAATCAGGTAAGAAGGAAATCAATTTTTTCTTTATACTTACTTTCAGAATGTTCACAGTTGTTACCGCCAAACTTAGGCTTGCACTTACACGTGTAACTGTTGCCAAATACGTTGCATTGTCCACCATTTTTGCATGGATTTGGCTTGCAAGGACTTGGAAGCTCTTAAAAAAGCATAATAATATACTTCAGAATTTTTAATCACTAGTAAAAATAATAGTAATATAGAACTAAAGTTCTGAAGAATTTTTTTTCGTTTAAATAAAGTAAACCTACTAGCTTAAAAAACATTCATAATTATTGTACTAAAGTCGTTGCTTTCATTTCCACATAATACTATGGTTTCATTTTAAGCTATATGAGCTGTGCATCGCATGTTTGCATTTTGTTTTCAATATTTATTGACTTGTGGTCAGAACTCTTGAGATAAAGCAACTTTCATTTAAAGTCTCATAACACGTCATGACTTCAAATATTTACCCTTTTCACAGTGAAATCCAACAAAGTTAGGAGGACAGTTACATTTGTATGAATTGCCCTCAAAAAGACATTGGGCACCATTTTTGCAAGGGGAATGATCACAAACTCCAACTAAAAATGAAAAATATATTTTAGAAGAGAAAGGCAAATCAGTTGATTCGTTAAATCCCGAGCATGATGGTGGTCTTAATTTTCCTAAATATCATGAACAGCAGTAGTGGAAAAGTCTATCAAAGTATTGTTGAATTTTTTTCAAAAATAAAACTGACTTTTTAGAAAAATTTAGAATTCGAACCACATACTTTCATGGAAAAAGTTAATCATTAATATACTTCAGCATAAGTATGCTGTTAACAATCCACAATATTTTACACTGACGTTTCGTGATCACCTCAAAAACTTTAGCACTTTGAAATCTTTACAAGATCAAGCAAATACAAAACTAACATAACACTTAATGTTTGATTACGTAGTCATGGCAGTATAAGATCTCTCATACACAAGTCAGAGCATTTCTGTTATATATTATAAAAAAGAAGTCATAAATGTGCAAACCTTCACAGGTTTTGCCTTTAAAACCATCAGCACATTCACACGAGAATGTATATCCTTTTTCGTACAAATACCCTTGTTTTACAAGGATTTGGCTGGCACGGTTTTATCTCTATAAAAGATTATCAGGTTAGGGCAAATAATTATAGTCGAGAAAGCCGCCTTAATTGTGATAAATCTCTAATATGCCTACTTTTTGAAGAGATTACAAAAATATTTGTAGCTCTAGATCTCTGCCTTCATCTCACAAGAGATGCCCATGCACTTTAGCCAACTGCCTTAAGTTTGTGATGAAGAGAAAATTACAGTTAAGTGTACAGCTATCAAAGAGTTTGATCCCTAATTATCACAGCCAGGAACGAAAGATGTACTTAATGAAACCCTGATTTTCTAAGACAATTATTTAGACCAAAATGCCGCTATTTGCTTCAAATGATGATATAATAACGAGACAAACAAATTAACGTAACACAGTAACTAAACTCCTACTATCTATATAATCATTATCCCATTCACGTGTTGCTATTGATGGCGAAAAAATGGGTTGGCTTTGCTAGTGCAAACGTGGCTTAGATCTAATTACGTTATCACATGCTTCATGAAATCAGGAAAAATTAATAGAAATCAAAATCTTGTAAAACTTTGCACATTAAGTAAAATTAGCTTAACAGTTTGATAGAAAACCACTAAAAAAATCTGGTTACATCGTGCAAAAGTTATATATAAAATATTATTGGATCATATTTATAATGTTTTTAAAACTTATTAAAATTTATTTTACTTTAAAATTTCATTAAAACATTGTTTTCTTCAGGTTTCTTGCCTTTACTATTTTTAATCTTTTGCAAACCAGGGCAATTAATTTTACGTCATATCTGTATTGGTCGGTGTGAAAATGTATTGTTTCACTTGCCCAATTGATTTTTATTTGAAAAGCTTAATCACATAGAAATTTGCGCAAATTTCAACAATTTTAGGCAGAAAACGTTTCAAACTGTAATTATGATTAGATGACGAGGTTAACTTTGGATGACAAATGTCAAATGAAAGAGAACATTCATTAACACCTATAACAATAATAAATATATTTACAATACGTAGATTGTTTCAAATCAATGGAGTTTTGCCAAAAGATGACACCAGTAATGCCATTGTAATAATTCAATGGAAATTAAACTTGGCTTGTGATTAACTTTCACAATTCGCCTTTTGTTGCGATTCTATCAAATGAATAGACCATTGTGGAAGGCTGACTTTAAAATACTAACCTTTGCAAAGAATTCCATTTCCCGAATAACCAATATTACATTTACATGAAAATGATCCTAATTTATTGGTACAGGTTGCTTTCTTGTGACAGTTATGGGTAGAAAGGGTACATTCATTGATATCTTTAAAGAAATACACAAACAGTTAGTTTTACTATCCTGCTTATTAATCGAGAAAAAAGATCAGGTAGTATTATACTTTTATTAAAATCGGTAAAATCTTTGCATTTCCTTAACGTCACCATTTTCCCTCACATAAACGTTCACTATCATAGCTCTGAATTGAAATATTTGAGCTGCAATATTTACTTTAACACTAAATCTTCTCTTGAAAATTTTATTATGCAATTTTGAAATTTTTTAGAGTGTTCAAAACAGCTATCACTAAACTCAGAGGTCTAATGAGAACGCAAGTTTTGGATGAAGTCATGACTTTGAACCATCGAACTGTAAAATAACTGGAATGTTATTTTGGCTGCCATCTTTGAAACCACTCATGATTGCCGCCATTGATAACGAGTGACAAAAAATTGACTTTTTTAAGTCTGTGATTGATCTTAAAATATAGCGCCTTTATAAGGCTGTTTTAAGCTCGATGTCTTGTACAAACATTGAATTTTTATATTTACCTTGTTCACTTGCACAAGGATAGGTTTAAGATGTTTTTTTGCATGCTAAAAATCACTCTGTGATTTTTTCACTTTTTTAAAGTCAAATAACTTTGATATGGAACTGGTAGTAGAGATAATTTGTATCTGAAATCGCGGATCATATACAGCTTTCCATTACATTATGCACTTTCCCTAATGAATGGAAAATTGCAAGACTAATTCCTTTATTTAAAAATGGGCAAAAGAATTTGCCTACCAACTACAGACCAATCTCTGTTTTGCCAGCAATCAGCAAAATTAAGGAAAGGATTTTATACAACCAACTTTATGATTATTTGAATAAATTTCACCTATTAAGTGACTCTCCGAAAACATCACTCAACAGCTACTGCCTTACTGGACTGTACCAATAGCTGGTATATGAATATTGACAAAAAATAATTCAACCTAGTGGTATTTATTGACTTAAAAAAGGCTTTTGATACTGTAGATCATGAAATTTTATTAAGCAAGCTTGAACACTATGGCATAAAAGAAGACGCTTTGTCTTTATTAACATGTTACTTTACCAACCGTACTCAGTTATGTCAGATAAATGGAACAATTTCATCTGAACAGTTGGTCAAGTGTGGTGTACCACAAGGTTCTATTCTAGGACCACTACTGTTTTTATTATACATTAATGATCTACCTCAATGCCTACAAAAGACAAAACCCAGATTGTTTGCCGATGATACAAATTTAACAGCAGCAGGAAACTCACTTACTGAAGTTGAAGCTGCTATGAATTTCGATCTGGAATGCCTAAGAAGGTGGTTGATTGCTAATAAACTAAGCCTAAATGTTGCAAAGACTGAATTTATGTTGATTGGCTCTAAACCAATTATTAAAAGTATAGCAAATCAGCAACCAAACATAGCGATAGAAAACAAAACAATAAAACAAGTTTGGGATTCTAAGTCTCTTGGTGTGACCCTCGATCAGCACTTGTCGTGGAAGAAAAAATACTGACAATATTTGTAAGAAGATTGCCTCAGGGATATCAGCTCTTCGTCGAGCTAAAGACTATGTCCATAAGGACAATCTTCTTTCCATTTACAACGCTCTTATACATCCTTACTTTACTTACTGCTGTGAAGTTTGGGACGTGTTTGGCGAAACTCAATCCAAACGCTTACAAAAACTTCAAAATCGAGCTGCTAGAATCATCGCAAACATGAGTAATGTTGTTGATCACGAAATTGCTTTGAGAGCTTTAGAGTGGGAGCCTCTTGATATTCAAAGGCAAAAAAGTAAAGCAAAGCTCATGTTTAAATTGCTTAACAACATGGGTCCAAAATCACTTACTAGTTTATTTAGTTTCAAAAGCGAATCAACTGATTATCAACTTCGTTGTTTTAAAAAAACACTATGCTTACCTCAGCCAGGAAGCAATAGCATGAAAAAAAGCCTAGCATTTAATGGGCCACAAGTCTGGAAATCATTGCCAAATGAACTTAAAGAAATTAGTTCTCTAGCGACCTTTCAAAGAAAAATCGCTTCCCACTTTCCCAAAACAAATATGTCCTCAACTAATTGTAAATAGCTTTCTAACCTAACTATACTTCATTTAATGTACATTTTAGTGTTTTGTGTATCGTAAAATGTAAGTAGTTCACTATTTTATTGTAATTTTCATTTTTGCACACGCCCCATGTGGAAATCAACTTGTATGTTGACAATGGTAAGCGTGTTAAAATAAAATTGTCTATCTTTCTATCAATATCTCTTCTTCACCAAATCGAGGATCGGAGACGCACCAGGACTTGCCCCAGGTGCCGCAGCCGACTCTAGTAACCAATTGGCTATGATCCACGCCAACTTAAGCCAGCACCGCATCATCGTGAACGGGCAGAACCTTTTTGATCGCCCCCTGAAGTTCTCGTGGCAGTGCAGGGCTGGCGAAGCTAACCAAACAGGAGCAGCCACTCACTTCTACGACCCCAATAAAAGTTCCTACCTGAAAGGTTTCAACTTGGTACAAGAGTTCTTCGGAAAGACGTACGGCACGGAAGTGCCCAACACGGCTGAGGACTACTGCAACAACTGGTTCATGATCCCGATCAATCTCAATCACAGACAACCCTGTCACAGACAACGCAAAAGCGCGAGGCAATCTTACAATCGATTAAAAGTTCACGGCTGTGATAAACAGTCCTATTGCGCTCCCCCTCCGACGCAACCACTTCAATCAAAGTGAACCATCTGGGCCTCGATCAGTATATGTACACGATATTGAAAGAGAAAGGCATCAGCTGGAGTGTCGTCTGAGTTATTGTGTAATTATGCAAGCATAATTACATTTGAAGTGTGGAGTTTTTGTCATTATTGTAGCTGCAAACAACATGGAAGGCGGCGATCTGAAAACGCGCAACTGCCGTTATCGCGGGGTGGCCTCGCAACGACAAACCGCCGATATGGCGGGTGTCTTCCCCTCCTACGAATGTTAGGCCTGGGGGCCGGTGTGTCGCCGTCGGAGCTGCAAAAAGCGATGAGCGACCCGATCAAGTCACAAATGCTTATGCAGCGTGGAGGCTTTCCTTGGGCATTGGCGGGGTTGAGCCTGCTCCCCATGCTGGTGGGAAAGGGGGCGGGAGACCGGATCGCCAACCAAATGAAGGCGACCCCGCCTGAACGGCAAACCGCAACCATGATCCGCGGGGGATTGGCTTTCCGCCCAAGGCTGTTGGGAGCCGCCACCAGGATGGCCCATTACGCAAAGAATGCCGCGATCCCCTTCGCCCTCGGTGCGCTCAGCTCGCTGGGGGACAACGTCGTTGACAGTATCTTTGGCGCGGGTATTCTTAACGGCAACATGTCTCACCCCTCCGACGACTACCGCGTGGAATATGTGCCATTCCAAGAGTAGACAACGGTCGGTGCAAAACGATCGAGGTCTAGAAAGACTGGCAAGACGACGGGAACAGTTCGAAGAGCACGTGCAGCCCCAAGATCGACAACAGGACGGAAGACGGAGTCGTCGAAGCGCGCAGCTCCTAGAAGAACGGCAGGGACACGACGGAACACCACGGGGCGAGCGAAGAGAAGCAACTTGGATGAATCCAACAGCATGCTCCTGGATGCTGCAAAGAGCATGGGCAAGAGAGCAGCGAATCGCGCTAAATCGAGGGCCATTTCTAGATTGAAATCGTCAGCTACAAGTTTGTCACCCAATGTCCTTGCTTCGGCGCCCGTGGCGGCTTCACACTTCCATCAGCAACAGCATCTCTCAGGTATTGCGGACCGCGTCCTTGACCTCGACGAGCGCCCACATCGGCCAGTCGTTCAAAATTTAGAGCGGTGCATACCTTTCCGAAATGGATTTTTAGCTGTTATTTCCCACCCCCGGGTCAGTCGTCCCGACGCCATCACAGGCGCCCGCGCCTCCTGTTCTTCCAAGTGTTATCGCGCGCGATACTAGCACAGGCAGCGCAAATACCCCGCTATCCCTTGGCTTGGATTTCACAAAAAAGAATGGTTTGACGAGCTTCTGCCTTCACTCAAAAAATGGGGGGCAAAATGTTTTGCTCTTGGGTCAGAGCAATATGGGCAAGAGCTTCTTCATGAAACGGCTCCTTGCTCAAGTTCGTGCGAAAAGGCTCTACGTCATTTCGAACACCTCCGCTGATCAATATATTCAACTTAACACGGTCTTGAAGCATTATTCCATCATGCCAGAATCGATCGAGGATACGAGTATAGAACCGGAGTCCTACGTCATCATCGACGACATCCGCGTCATGAATCTCAAATGCGGAACGCAGAGAAAATGCCTCTATAAGTTCTTTACGATGTATAGCCATCATCTGAAATTGAACGTCTTCTTCCACTCCCAGAGCTTCGACAACATAAAGGACATGAAGGTTAACACAAACTTTCTCTATCTCTTCCGATTCACGGATAAGTCGAACGTGAAGCGGTTTCTTAATTCGCTCTACGGCGGCAAGGGCAATAAACCGGCTCTCATCTTCAAACTGTACGAAAAACTCTTGACCAGATGCGAGCGCTCGATCCTCGCTACGGATTGCACCAACCAGCGATTCGCCTATTATTGCGACGAAAAATCTATTGCGGTGGACTTTCAGTGAAAGCTTAGCTTTCTCCCTCATTATCAGAAACAATCTGACCAAAAATTAGAGAAAGAAGTTCGGGAGGGATATCACCAGATTTTTAGGCGTATGTTTGAAGAAAATGAAACATATTCGAGTCCGGATCGACAATGGTATCCCACAGCGACTTCAACGGGTGGCGGAAAAAGGTTATCGGTCGGCCTTCCTTATCCCAAAGGCGCAAAAACTGGAGGTCCTCAAGTTTATCGAGAACCAACCCGAGCACATTCTAAAACGCGCTAATTCCTTTATTGATATCTTGGGTTATCTCTCCGATGGGTCTCGAGCAAAGGGGGCTGGAGCACCAAATTACCGTAAATGAGCTCTATGTTTTGTTCGAGGGCCACCCTGAGCTTCTCAATGAAGAGTCGGTCCTGAGCACGGTCAAATCCAGGTTGCTGAACTGTGCTGAAGATACAGGCCAAGTTCGCGACAGCGTCGCTGATGTCCGTTTGAAAAACCAACTCCCGGCGGTCACTACAACCGCGCCTTCTTGCAAGACTCGGAAAGAGGGGATCTCAATCACTTGCTGCTGCTCGTCTTTGGCCGCTTCTGGCGGGCCAGAAGATTCTCGAGGCCTTTCTCATAAGCAACTATTTCACTCCGAGTGCGAAGCTGGTACAATGTTTACGGAAAACCCTCAAGGGTTGAAGCAAATCTCAGGGAGCCTCAGGTGGATCAAGATATGCGTCTTGCCATCGAGGCTGACTATCGTGTGCTTGCCAAAAAAGTAAACCAATAGTTTCTCAGCAGGTATCCCTTTGTGGTGGTCGCTAACGCCGTCGTCGACTTCGGCCATCCCCAGTTTCGCCTGGCTAAGTCGAAGTTGCAGGAGATCAAACAGCATGCTCTTGCGGTCCCGGGGTCAGGGAAGAAGTTCGGTGATTTGGCAGCCTTGCTTGAGACCTACTCCAAAACACCCGAAAGCAAACTTATAAAATATGATCGTCATTTTATGCCTGGAGGCGTCAGAGGCAAGATGACTAGCGATGCTGCCTCTATTTATGTGCTCCTCATTAACGGGAGCCGCATCATTAGCAAGTGTCTTGATATATTGAACGCGCGAGGCCTTGTTTGAATGTTTTATGGATATGGCGTTTTGGACGACCACTTGGGAGAAGAAGGCGGCTGCTTTGGTGATCAGTGATGAGGAGGAGCAGCTTGCTCGTTTGCAGGATACTGTGGTGCGAAATAAAACAAAAATTGGGAATGAGGATATTGAGGGCACTCTTTCTCATATTGTCGCGCAGCTGAAGTTAAACAAGCTCGACCTCCATGGCATTGATGACCGTTTGAGTGGTTTACCGAGAAATGCTCCAGGAACGCTGCTGGATCTCGTACGACAGGACGTTGTGGTGGCGCGGTTTGAGGAGTGTGCGAATCTGAAGAATGGCAAGATACAGATTCAGGGTCTCTGGATTGAGCGGGCTGAAAACGAGTTGTATCATATGAGCAGCGGTAAACTGCGAGAGGTTGGGGTTAGAACTTCCATCTCTTCTGGCGGGGGGATGGCACCTTTCTTCTCACTCTCTATGCCGCGGTCCCGCGGGAAGTCTCGGACCACATGGGCACGTACGGATACAATTGGAGACGTACCTATAAGATGCATTATCTTGAGTTCCCCTGATATATATCGTCAGCATGGTTTTAGATTTATGTACGACCCAAGCAGTCGAGATTTGACTCCAAGCAAGGAAACCTCCTGTGACGAATTTAACGTGCTTCCGCTGCCAATACGATGCCGAGCAAGATCCACCGAGCTCGATCTCTGTATGGGAATACGCTTTTGACCGCCCCGCCCGTACGCAGCTGGAGACCGTTCTCACCCAAGCTCAGGCCACCAAGCGTGTTGAGTATCGTCATTACGATGGCGCTGCGAGGAGGGTGGGACGCCCTCCTACGCGTATTACTCTGCAGGCGAGGAGGGGGGCTGGTGTATGGTCTCTGATTGGCCCGGTTCTCAGCTCGAGTCAAGTGCTTCGCATGGGGATCGCGGCTGCTGTAATCGATGTTGCGACAGTCCGGCTGAAGGTGAACGATGTCGAGAAGACAACTTTCGAAGTGCGCAAGCCACGCGGGCAGGTTTCGCCTTCACAGTTTTCGATCCTGCATTAGAGGTTGACGTGGGGGCTGTTATTTGGTTTTCTTCAACAGACGCTACCGCTGGTTTTATAATGACATTGCTATTGGAGCAGTATGACTTCGCGTGAGCCCTACGCACCCCCTTCTTCACCTCCGGTGTCGACGGCGCCTCTCTATCCTACGCTGCCTACTGCGAGTGATGCCGGAAATACGTACCGATTACAGAAGATTTCAGAGGTTGAAGCTCGCTTGCACACGGAAATGGAAGCCCGCCAAACGCTCTAAAAAAAGTACAAAAGAGCTGTGAACGGCTTAGACGGCGCGGGCAATGCCATGTCTGCTATCACT